ATATTATTGGCCCGGCATGGTAACCGACGTCCAAAATTACGTAAAAGCTTGTGAAATTTGTAAAGGCAACAAAACACAAAACGCCTTCCATAAGCCCCTAATGGGCAAACAACGCGTCACTGAAAGGCCTTTTCAACGTTTATTCATTGACTTCATGGGTCCCTATCCCCGCACGAGTTGTGGAAATGTCTATGTGTTTGTGTGCTTAGACCACTTCTCGAAGTTTGTATCCTTAAAACCTACGAGAAAAGCCACTGCTGCCGAGGTTATTAAGTTTTTAGAGAATGAAGTGTTCCATATTTTTGGAGTGCCCGAATATGTCCACTCGGACAACGGGAAACAATTTGTCGCGGACATATTTAGCCAGTTCCTGGAAAAGTATGGTGCGCAGCATATTAGAACCGCATTCTATTCACCGCAAGCCAACGCAGCAGAAAGAGTTAACCGTTCGGTGCTACAAACCGTGAGGTCGTATATTAAGGGACAAAAGAATTGGGATAAGCACCTTAGCGATGCCGCTTTCGCTCTCCGCAGTGCTGTGCATTCTGCGATTAATGACACACCGTATCATGCAGTCTTCGGTATGCCTATGATACAGCATGCTGCATCACACGAGCTATATCGAAGACTTTACGCTGTTAGAGATGCGGACTGCGAGGTCGAAATGCTAGCAGATAAAACGCAGCTTATCCGAAATAAGATAATGAAGGAATTAAAGTTAGCTCATGAACGAAGTAAGAAGACCTACAATACGAGAAGTCGAGAAGTGAAGTTTCAAATTGGATAAGTGGTGTACCGCCGAAACTTCAAGCAGAGTTCCCAAGTCGAAAACTACAACGCTAAACTTGCCCCAAAACAGGTCAAATGCGTTGTATTAAAAATAATTGGAAATTCTATGTACGAACTTGGTGACACTAGTGGCAAGAAGATCGGGGTATACCACGCTAAGGATATCTTTGTGGCGTAGTGTATGTAGTGACCCGTGCTTTATGTTGCATGTGAAGTGTTGTATATTTAGTCGTGTTCATTGTAGTCACTTGATTTATGTATATATGGTGAGGACCGAGTCCCCTTAACTACCTGACTAGATATATGTTTACGTTTCTTTTACTACTTGACATTTTATTTCCATATATTTTATGACTTTTGTGATATTTTTTTTTACGTATAAACATATTTATCTGTGATATTTACCTATTGTGTTGACTATTTATTTGATTATTACCGTAATTGTTTTCTTATTTAATTATTTATTTATTTATTTATTTATTTATTAACTTATTTACTTATTTATTTATTCATTTGCTTATATATTTATTTAATTACTTATTTATTTATAAATCTGTGATATAGATATAAGTTGCGAAACTATACGTACTCGTAGATGTAGTAGTGACAGGTGACGTAGTTTGCATATACTACATTAGATACACACACCTGGACTGGTAGTATGATTTTAGCACCTTCTGTCGAACTTAAATTAGATTGATAATTATAATTTTTGAAGGAAAGCACCTAAATGCGGGTCGACCTCAATATTGTGGAGAACGTTTTTTATATTCCCAGCTGCATATCTAGGCAAATAATTGTGCGTATGTGCACGCAGTAAGCGCACAAATTTGAACTCAAAGCTAATGTATGTGCATATATACATATATAGATTCATACATTTGCGTGTGTTTATTCATGCTTATACGCGCCTTAGAGACAGCAAGGTGAAACTAATTGAATTTCTTTTAAATTTTCAGGTCGCCAGCACACCTGTGCAAAAGGACCTCGCAGGGAAAAAAAGAGCTAAGCGACACACCACCTACTAAGAGGCACTCACAAAGCCAGGCTCTGCGGCGATCCGACCTTACTCTAGTGGTCCGATGTATTATCAGAGAACTTAGATAGATAGAGAAGGTGCAAACTGAAAGTGGAAACTATTCGCGGACGAAAAATTAACAGCGTTAGAAAAGTTCAAAAATTCTGTTGAATTTAATGTTGATAACATAATACAATGTTGAGCAACATGAAATGTGATGTTCTTTGTGAGCAAATAAACGAAAATATGGTAAATCTTCACATAATTTTCATTAATTTGTAATTTTTGTTAAATTTTTTATCTTGTTCTCCTTTTATGAAGATGCAAATACAATTTAAAATAATGATAGTTTGGCATAAAGTTTACACACATATGTACATGCATACATATACTGGCAATCAAAAGTGAGTGCATGGTGTTTTTTGCTTAATATTTGCAATGTTTTTCAATTAAATTTTTTTTATTATCTTTTTATAAAAATGTGGTTCATGCTTTAATCAAAACTATACAAGTCAAACTTTCAAACTTTACACAGAACATAGAAAAATTCAACGAATTCTCGTCTAAATTTTGACCTGTTTAATCTGAGTTTTTAGAAAAATTTTGAGTACGCAGATAGATCGGTTTTTTAATTCTAGTGGAACAAGATCAAGTTTTAAGCGGCTAAAAAATCCGGTTGATTTTTAATGATTATTTATTGCTGACGGCTTTTTGCACTTTTTACCAAATAAAAGTGAATTTCTTGTAGAATAAAATGCGCATGACCGTTTGCAAACAAATAAAAAAAAATTAGCGCTATTTTTTACAAATTGCACTTACTATATGCATAAAACCGCAATTCCCGTCGAAAATAACATAAAAGTTTAACTTAAAAACATTGCAAATATTAAACAAAAAACAGGATGCACTCACTTTGCCAGTGTACATACATATTTGTGTTTAAAATTAACTACTTATGAAATAATTTTTGTGGCACGAACATATACATACTTGCGCTTTCTAAAAA